TCTCGTGTTCTGGAAGCAGTATTGATTCTTCTCCTGAGGAGCTAATAAATACTCACGTTTATAAGTTTGTGAAGAACAGTGGGAAGTTGTTATTTTGAAAGCTTTGCATCACATGAAAGATAAGAAAAAACATCTTGTGGCATCAAGTTGTTGAATTCAGTACCTATGCTGTATCAAAAATTTCCTCTGGTGACATTTCCACTTAGAAAAGTTTCTTTTTATTTAATAAACTGGACCAAAGTCTACAATTATATTAATGTAGAGATACAGTACTTTCACTAGAAGTTCAAGTCTATATCCTTATAAACACTGGAAAGTTAAACGATATTGAAACCATGGAATTAACCTATTTACCCATAACAATTCCTTTCACTGTTATGTTATATATTCTATTTATGCATATGGAGGTTAAATACAGTTATTTTCCATCTTTCTTGAAGCAGCTTTCTCAGTAAGAAGCCTGATATTCAATGACAGATGTATTAGCAATCAGCAGAGATTTCTCAAATGGAATAATTGTTGCGTAATATATACTATTTGTGTTCAAATTGTAAAGTAAGGTTTCTCCTTTTTTTAAACCATGAATTCTGTTCTTTAGAGTCCCTATATCCTTATATTGTACATGTAAGGAAGGTTTAAATTTTTGTAAGTGTTAGCACATCTCCTCCCCTCCTCCCTCCCTGCTGCTTCCTCTTTGCAGTATTTTAAAACACAGATATCTGCCTGTTTCAGTTGTGTGCTCTTCTGGGAACATGCTAGCACTGACTGGCATAGCTATCTGTGGAAATCTTTCAGAATTAGGACTTTGCAAAGCTGCAATGGCAGCATTTATTTTCTGTCACTTGCACTGAATTGAACAGAGCAGCTTAGCTGAATTTTAATATTTTTTCCCTGCACAGGAAGAATTTTTGTTTTATTCCAGTGTAACCCCCTGTATGGAGGGGGCGCGGAAACATAACGCGTGCTCCTGTTTGCCTCGTTCCCACGCTGGAATATAGGCCACGCTCAGACCCTCCGTAGGCTGGCAGCGTTGCCCGCCGCCGCGCAGCGGGGCACGGCGCGAGCTGCCGCGTGCGCGCTCCGCTCCGCGCTCCGCTCCG